AAGCGAAGAAGAAGCGGGAGACAAAACAAGCAGCCATCAAACTCACCTGACCTCAACGTGCTTGACCGCGGATTTTTCTGAGCGATGCAGTCGCTGCAGACAGAGCATCACTCACGCAATGTGGAAGAAATTGTTGTGTCAATAGAAAACTCGTGGTCCAAGATCGATTCCTACACTTTGAAGGTTGCAGAGTTGTTAGCAAGAAGTCATGCGGCCCTTTGGCAACAACGACTATAAAATCCCCCATGTGAAAAAGTCGAAATTGATGGCCCGATGTATGCTCCTGGAGGTCTTTGGGTACGACAAGGAAGTTTTGAGGTTTGTGTAACTAGACTCAATGGTATGAACTAAGTCGCATACAGACTTGGAATTATAGGTTAGCGCGAATTTGGCATTAGGTGACTTGTGTACAGAGATTGAATTGCTCAAAATCGCCGAGAATGATACGCAGGATGAGGACAAGCTCAACTGGGATATCAAGTTCTTTTAGAGCATCCCCTCATAACGTAAATGACCAAGTTATGATCACTGTACCAATTTATGATCACCCCCTGTGAGCCAATCGCATCGCAGAATTTTTTTACTAGAAAGCCTCCAATAGATTTGAACTTGTTTCCGAATCTTCCGGACATTAAACTTGAAACCGGGTAAGTTCCCCGCAGATGACCTAAAATTGTTAATTGCTCAACATGGGTAGTATGCAGGCTGGTGCATCCATGGTTAAACGCACCGGTATGATTGGTGCAATCTAACACTGCAAACTCCTATGGCTCTGTCTGGATCAGACACATAAATAACTGATTTATAAACAAATATCCCTTGTAATCCAATCTTATATTCAATATAACAGGGAAAAGTAAGGATGCGTCTGGTAAAAGGAAATATTGCAATATTCAGGCCCAAAATGCCATTTTGGGGCCGAATTCAACAAATCTAATCAAAATTGAAATATGTCTTGCTTGAAGAGTTTCAACCCAAATCCAATAATTCCACGTGGGATTTACTCGTTCAAGAGGTTCAAAACGCCACATTACAAAATCGACCTTTTACCTCCATTTTGAAATTGGCATTTTGGTTAATCCCATTTTGGCAGAAAATAGAATATTCTTTTTGAAATGTTCCCAGACCCTAAATCGCTCAATTTTGAATTTCACTACTGGCGGAAGAGCCTTGTACTGTGCTGTCATTGCTAGCTGGCGGGTTGCAGGCAAAACTTCATTATGTTGTTCATTTGCCATGGTCAAAGCACTTTAAACCAATCAATGGATGCAGGACATTCGGTCCGACTTTCTTCTGTCAATATCTCACGTCTGGGTTTGACTTCGCTTTTGTATATAATAAATATTACAACGAACAAAAAAAGTCGGACAAACGATCCGACGATCACTTGATTCCTGTATATCCTGTCCGACTTTTTTCCACTACAGGGAACAAGCATGGAGGATTTTGGCGCATTTAGTTTTTGAACGAACCAATCACAACAAGCCAATCAGAATTCTAATCTCTTATTGGTCAATAGCTTTGGCGGCAATATATTGAAAACATTGATGCCTGTAACCTTCCACGATCCATCTTGACTGTGAGTCCCAATGCCCGACGAGGGCCACCTTGCTCCACCCCAGTCCATCAAACATCGCATCCGACCGAGCATAGCTCACAAGCTCAATGCCATCGCTGTTACCAAGCGCGCGACAGTGCGAGAGGCCGCGTTCACACTCGGATACCCCGAGGGATACATCCGCTTGTAGATGGCAAACCAAGCCAAGCTCAAGCGCTGCCGTGGTGTGAAGGCAACGAAGCGAAACTCGTGCAAGAGTGGGGCCAAACCTATCATCCCCGATGCACATGGCCTTGTCACCTACATGATGGACCTGCGTCGGTAAGAGATGACTGTCATGTCCTCCCACATGCTCCAGTCCTTGGGTGAAGACCACCTGGACTGGATCGAGCACTACATGAGTTCACGTCGCTCGGGATACCATTCACTGCTACGCCTGCTCCAGCACTTCGCGGAACGTCACGGTTTCTCGCGCCAGCGAATCTGCCGCCAAAAGAAGTCCCAAGAGGAACTGGAAGCCACGCGCATTGCCTTTGGGAAGCAGTTCCACGATAAGCACCCCGGCATCGACATGGACGTTTTGTACATCTCTGACGAGACAGGTATGTACTACGACATGTGTCCCAACACCATCTGGGCCATTCGTGGCGGTGGGAGTTATGTTGCGAATTCGGAGCGGCACTCCTACCGCATGACGGCGCTGTTGATGGTGCGAGGTGATGGGAAGAAATTGCCCATACTCTTCATCATCCGTGGCGAGCCTGGTGGCGATATTGAGACCAATGAGTTTCCCGACTACCCACCCGAGCACTTCTACGCGATGTAAAAGAAAGCCTGGATGAACGGCATTGTGTGGAAGTACTTCCTCCGCGACGTCCTCAAGGCGGAAATTGAGAACCCGTCCGTATTGCTCGTGGACAAATTTGACTCGCATGTCAGTGAAGAAAGCGAGAACATTGTTGGCGAGGAGTTGGGAAGCGAGCTGTGTGCGTTGCCTCCCAACAGCACATCTCATTGTCAGCCCCTAGATGCATTTCTCATGGGTCCTTTCAAAGAGCATTTGCGGGATTTGTGGGTGCTGACGAAGTCAACAGCTACAACAACCAAGGAGAAAAGTTTGGTAATGATTAATCGCGCGATCAAGGCTTGGGTCATGGTAATGATGATGAAGTGCGTGTAAGTTTTGTGAAAGCAATTCCGCGTCCCTTGGATAACTAGAATACCATAATGTCTTTTTTAATTTATATTTTTACTTGAGACTTGAATGTAATCATATTATCCTTCTACTGGGATCGAACTCGGGGCAATTTGCAATGACCGGTAAGGTAATCCATCAATAGCGCGAACGCTTTTTGTGCACTAAAATGTCAAATGTTTGAAGCACTCCACCACAAAAAGTCCCTCGAATAAAAAAAAACTAAAGGTAGCGTTGGAAAATATAAATCCAGCTGCATTTTTTAGTGCCAAGAAGTGCCTGAAATATCCCAATAATCGATTTGTATTTTGAAATTATAACGTAACGTTAAGAATTGGTGAAACTTTTTTGGCTTTGTATTTCGCGAACGGTCGTAATATCTTAATTTTGTATGTATGGAATATTAATTTACAAAATAATATACCTAGGTGTCGTGACGCGTTTAAATAAAATAATATATTTAAACATGTCACGACACCATATTTCATGTATAAAAATAAATTTATACATGAACTCAATTCTACATTAAATTTGAACGCATTATAATAAGATATAACTTGAAATTTGTATTTGACAACATAAAAATGAGCATAATTTTGAACTTCAAGGTGGTGTCCTGATCGTTTGGCTGAATATAATCATATCCAATGAAAAATCCTCATTACACAATGAAGCCATTGGATTGGATATAATGACAACCGTTCGCGATATTGATGGATTACCTTACATGTACCTTAGTTTTCACTCCAGTTGCATACGGACACACCGAAATCTTGTCAGTGAGCATTGCGCGGCTGCCTGTCATCTGTTCTTTGGGGAAATTGGGTAGAATGCACACAAAGGGTACGACTGCCCCACATCACTAGTCCCTACAAATGGCCGAGGTAGAGTAACGTTATTAGTGTATGTGTGTGTGATGGTGGAGGTGTTGCCATTGCCTTCGACATCAAAGTCAAGACACGCCCATCGTGCTCATAATTGTGCTCAGTATTAATACGATATTCAAACGCAACAGCGCTTCTCGTACTGATAGCGTGATTTACTGCCATACCGAAGCAACATACCTTGATCCCCAGTTGTTGACAGATCTTATGTCCTCGGTAGTCGGCGCCGCTGGGGCCTTGCCCGCCGATGGCATTGCTGTGTAAAGATTCTGAAACTGTGTCCGGATACTCGATTTCGTAAAACCCATTATATCTCTGGATATAAATTATATTTTACCTGACCATAGATAGCATCAAAGGTCCGACCGTCGAATGGTCATCTATGAATATTATTCTGGTCACAAAGGCACGCGCACGTATCATCCGGATAACCGAAACGAATTGACCAATAGTATCAACGAACTGGAAACACTTTCGAGAGGTTGGAAAAGACCAGAATTTGCTCGGAGCGGGATGACTGCGCAACCTCGGATGATGTGCTGGCCCTGCCACGGGATGGAGCGATTGGCATCGCCGTCCTGGATAAATCACGGCACAGTCGTTGGCACAAGGGGACGGTGCATTCACTGGGGTGTTCAGGCATCCTGTGATGACACTTCTGACTTATCTGGTGGGGCAACACGGGGTTGCCATCGAGGTGGTCCGGCCATGTGATATCGGTACCCCATTACTGGGGTGGTATGTATGTATATGCATGTGTGTTATATGTACTCATACATGCTATTGTATCGCAGGATGAGTGTTTCATTCGAGTCGCCGTTTGCTGCAGCCGTGGCCCACGGGATTTGATCGCTCGTGGGTCCCAAGGTTGACGTACGAGCTGTTGCTTGATTCTCACGTACGGCGGGACTTGGTGGGGCAACAGGGGTTGCAATTGGGGTGGTCTGGTCAGACCAGTGTTTCGGGGATCGTTTTTTGGTGCGTCTGTTTGTGTATAATAGCATTTGCATTCTGTTCCATGATATGTCTGGTATTGGTGTGTCTGTATATAACATCATTTACATTCTGTCCCACGATATGCCTGTATACACTCAAGTAGAGAGTTAATTAAATGTATTTATACACGTTTAGACAGCAAAATTCTCTTATGACACGGTCATTTCTTCGAGGATATAATGTGTGGCTGGTGGTGCCGGGTCAGTGGTCATTCCCGATGTTATCAATTGACGGTAGTGTGCAATCCTGGCATTGAGGGCGCCTGAACGATGGATCTTTTGTAGTGCCTTGAGCGTGCAGACGACCCTCGCGAGCGAACATCATGCTGAAGGAGAAACGCCAGGGTTTCCTGTTCCGCGCGCACCCCGTAGCGCAAAACGTCATCTCGGTACGTCGGGCTTCGCATGTCCATGATGAACCCATCCTACAAAAACAACTTCATGTAGGCGACAACGTGGCGGCCGATGTACTTCTTTTGTTTCGAGGATGTGCTTGCGTGCAGTCGAGGCTCATGTGCGTACCATTGAAACCACGTTGTTCGAAGTGCCAAAACGGACGTCATTCGTGCTTTAGTTCCCGGATTTGATTCGGCCTCGACGTTTACACGTGCGTTTTTCGTAGTTGGCGATCGTGCAGCCACGGCATGCTTTCCTGTCGACGTCGGTCCAACGTGCATACGCGCTTCCAACGTTTGAAGTCGTTGGCCTTGACGTTTGGATGCCGCAATCAGCTGTAGAAATATATTGGTTTGATCGCGTATGATGCTCTGTTGATTGGTGCACCCTTGATGTTGTTGGAGGGCTTGACCTTCGTGTGACGACGATGTTCGAGTAGGTGGTTGTTGCGCCGGCAGGCAC